CTTCCGTTAAGCAATTCGTCCTTACGATACGCTACTATTCATCATCATTATTGGCCTCATCTCATACCTACGTCTGTGGCAGATGATTTATGCTACGATTAAAGTTTCCTTACCGTTATAAAAGTACCTTGCTCTTCTCAGCTGATGTATCGAGTAACCATAGAAGCTACAAGTGTTAAATAATAGTGTGTATGTCGGTTTCTTCTTTTATTGCTTTATGATACGAATAAACGACGCGAGATATTAAATTGTAATACGAGTTTTTTCTAAATATTTTTTGATTAATGAAAGAGGTCTTAGATTTATTTTTTACTTATTTAAAACTTCCGTTATTAGCAGTTTTAATGGTAAAGACATGCCATTAGCGAAGTTTATCATATTTTTCAAAAAGAAAAATTTAAAAAAAGTTTGTTTGGATTTTATTAACCTCTCACGCGCGACTTCAACTTTGCGCAAAATAGTACATCTAATAAAAAACAAACAAATCATATAAATTATCAAAACTCTACCTTTCAAATCAACGAAAATAGCACACAAATAACGGTAAACAAATTTTGATAGATACCTGCAATGACCGATGAAAGCCAAAAATGCCCTTTCACATATCACGTAGTACGTAATTATGGCCACGAACCATCTACGTGGTCGAAAATTGAGAAAAAAACTAAGTACGGTTCATAACGTGAAGTGATTGTCGCCAAGGGGGCTTTCTCACGAATGCTGAGAGTTACCTGCGCCCTGTACTATGATACCAATATTGGTTAGCGATGGTATCGCTTAGTTAATGATACATTGACTAGTTGTTAGCAATTATAATTTTCCTTTTCGTTACTTTGAAACTTGACTAACATTACAACGTGAAAAGTAGGACTTTTGGTGTAAAACTTCCAGTACTAAGTGTCTTTTCTGTCACTTAGTTGGATGATTTTAAACGCAAATAAAACTTTCCAATAAGGTACTCTTACATAAATATAAGATATGTACTTTCAAACTCAATATTCTTTCATATTTTTTTTAATAAACACCATAATTTATTTACTCAAAGAAACAGGTGAACTCATTTAGAGAAAGCTAGAGTAATGCAAAAGCAAAAATAAACCCTTTCGCGACCGAGCCATGAACTCTGTCCAGACAAAACTACCGCTAACCTGTAGAGTTCACTGATAGGTCACTCGCAGCGTGATTACAGGTTACAGTCAATATTTTAGGCAGTGTAATATTGATTTCTATACCAATAGGTAATTTACTGACACCTCGGGCTAAAGGCACGTTAGAAAGGAACCATTTAAGTATTAAAAGGTGTAAATGTTATAGCGGTGATCTAATAGCGCACGTTTGATGTTTTGAACCTTTAATATTTTCTATAACTTCCATAATCTTAGAAATTGGCTGCATTTCAACAAAGAAAAATTCAATAAATTGGTAGCCCATGGAGGTATCCCCAGAGCTTTTCTTTCTTCTCTACTCTATTTTACGTCAAGAAATTTCTTCCAAATTATAATCTTGAAATGACTACCAACGCCAATCTAGGCTAACAAAAACTGTACTTAGTTTGAAAGTCCAAAAAATAATGACCAAACTACAGCGTATCATAGACAGCATTAGGCTTATTCTCCTCGAAACGCGTTCTCCTGAGAATTCCGTCATCATTTTTCAAATTGATTTTATTGTTATTTTGAAGGCATGGGGTCATTCTTTATAGGAATTTAAATAAAATTATGTGAGAGGCCCACTTTTTTATCGAGTAAATGCGAAGTTATAACAAGGCCACTATTTGCTGTGACGGAATTTAGAGAACGGAATCGAGGAGTATGATGGATCTAACAAAAATGATTCATGTGGCTTTGTTTACAAGTATTGACAAGATGTTAATAAACATGTGCACACATTATCGTGTTATAAGGAAAATTTACGAATTTGTTATGATATTAAATAGATATTCATAAAGAAAATTGAAGCCCACTATTTTATGTGACGGATCTGATAAAACGTCCACTATTTTGGGTGACGGATCTGATAAAATTGCATTTTTTTTGCTAAAACCCATTTTAAAACCCGTGTTCATATCATTCCTGCTAATGGTACACCATTTCTTGGTTTCGCTTACTTTAAAACACGAATAAAAAGCTGTTAGTGCGTGAAATTTCTTTTTCAGACCAGCGTTTTTCTGTTAGTGGGAGGCTGGAAAGAAAATGTTTAGATATCAATATCAATATTTATGGTTTAGTTAGGCTTTTGAGTTCCGCATTACGATCTTTGCCATGTGGTGTCGACAGAATAGATTTTCACCACCCCAAATCTGCCCGTGGGTATCGTAAGAGGCGATAAAGAGCTTCCGGGAGGTGGGCAGCAGCCCCTCCCGTGTTGACAACATAGTTCACAAACACACACTGCGGTCATCAACCCGCGTGCCCAGCGTGGTGACTATGGGCAAACCCCTCATGAATAGTTCGAGAAAGAAACGGCCCCTAGTGCCCGGCTGCCCTACTACCCCGAGCTACGGTAGCGGCCCGGGTTATGGTAGGGCAGGGGGTGCGGAGAATCCCCGGGCTATGACGACGGCTGCCATAAACTGACCCTGGCGACTTACAATGAATGCAATCAGCGGCTGGATGACAGCCTCCAAATCCTTGAAGTAGAATTAGTTAATATACGGTGGAATGTTCTTGGGTTGTCAGAAGTCCATAGAGAGGGGGAGGACACGATAACCCTAGAATCAGGTCACTTATTCTACTCCAGTGAAGGGACCGCGCAATCTCAGGGTGGCGTAGGGGTTCTCGTCAATAAAGCTCCCTGTGACAACGTGGAGGAGATCTGTAGCATCTCGAACAGGGTAGCGTACCTCGTGCTGAAGTTGACCGAGAGGTACTGTCTCAAGGTCGTTTAAGAGGAGGCCCTATACGATGACGTGTCGAAGGCCATACACCAAACAACTAAGACCGGGAGCGATCAACGACTAGTAAGAGACACCCTAATTAAGATTCAATACCGGAAGCGATCAACGACTAGTAAGAGACACCCTAAGTATCAAATTCAAGCTAGAAAGAAACCACATGGTGAAGCCAGTTCTCCGCCCCAAGCCGGACATGAGGAGTTCTAACTTGAACTGAAAAATCGATTCGCTGCACTGAAGATGGAGACCCCGATAAACGTTGACGAGGACCTAGAGGGCATAGTCGGGGTTGTTCGCGAAGTGGGGACGAAGCACTTTCGTAAAAGGCGAACAGATTAGAAGTCCAAACTTTCAAGCGAGGCCCTGGTCTGGTACTGACGCGAATTAGTCTGGATACGCCAGATGATGCATTGCCAGATCCCCAGTCACTTAACAAAAAGATCCGAAGTATAGTAAGACACGACCTCCGAAGCTATAACACTCGACTCGTAAAAGAGGCGATTGACAAGATCCGAGGGTCGAAAGTTTTTACCAAGACACTGGGAAGGAGTCATCTGGCAAAGCTAAACTACCTCGAATGATGTAACTATCATATCGGTTCCAGATATTCTCGCTGAAATTGAGGACTCCCTATGGAAATCTGTAGTGTGCTTCGCATGCGCAAAAGCCTCCACCTGACGCGACCCCAAGCCCTAGAGCTCCTCTCTACCGCCACTTTACAGAAGCTCTTCAGGACGTAGATATCGACGAAATCAGGGCGGCTCCCAGACAGAATTAGAATGGAAAGGCTCCCGGGGAAGACGGAGTGTCCTCTGAGCTACTTAAGGCCACGTCTACAAGCTGTTCTCGAGAGTCGTCACATATCGTCGCATCAAGATTTGATGCCTTTTAGCCACCAGAATAGGTTCATACTGTAAGGCAGGTTATTCAGATGCCAAAAGAGTACAACTAACCACTGTGTGGCTTTTGTGGACTACGAAAAAGCCTTCGACTCTATCGAAACCTTAGCTGTATTGGAGTCTTTGCAGCGGTGCCAAATCGACTGGCGGTATGTTGAGGTGCTGAGAAGCCTCTATCAAATGGCTACGATGTCCGTTAAAGTACAAAACCACAATATAAGGTCCATCTAACTGCTCCGTGGTGTAAGACAGAGTGACGTTATATCCCCAAAGCTCTTCACCAACGTACTGGAGGATGTCTTTAAGACTGTACAGTGGGATGGACTGGGCATCAACTTTAACGGCAAAAATCTCATGCATCTCCGCTTTGCCGACGACATAGTCATAATGGCCGAATCGCTGCAAGACCTGCAAAATGCTATCTAGTCTTAACTCTGCCTCGAGACATGTTGTACTGGGGATGAACTTGGATAAGACGAAGGTCATGTTCAATCATAATCACTCATTATCCCCGAGCCGGTCTCCGTCGAAGGTGTAGCCCTTGAAGTTGTTCAGAAATATGTGTACCTTGGGCAAACTTTGCAGATTCGAAGAGACATCTTTTGAGGCTGAAATCACCAGAAAAGTGCGGCTTGGCTGGGTAGCATTTGGGAAGCTGCGTCACATCCTCAAATCATCTTTGCCACAATGCTTTAAGACCAAGGTGTTCGGTCAATGCGTCCTACCAGTCATGACTTACGGAGCCGAGACGTGGAACTTGACAGTAAAACTGGCCCGCAGGCTACATGTCACTCAAAGAGGTATGGAGAGGTCTTTGCTCGGTATCTCTGGATAAATCCACGCTGAACAAATTATGCTAAGGAGCCATTCACGTATCTGTAATAGTTTGGATGGCCTCCTGGTGGTCTATACCTTTCTGGATTGGACCCTCCAGTGCTAACAAGAATGATAAAAGAAATAAGTTATCGATCCCCGGTCGATGCATGTCATTTTTTCTATTTCTTATTTTCACTTGTGAGAATAATATAGCACTGTGAGTGCATTACAATCCCAATAGATTGATTAAGCAAGCTTCATCATATGGTTTGAATTCCACTCATAATGTGGACTAACCATGTAGTAAGTTCTAAATCCTTTCTACAGATGTCGCTGGATCGTCGCTTGGAGACGAGCATCAAGAGATAGAAAATTTGGCGTTCATCGGCCGTGCATCGATAGCTCAGAGGCACAGCGGTGGGGCGTTTACCCATGCGGCCCGGGTTCGATCCCCGGTCGATGCATGTCATTTTTTCTATTTCTTATTTTCACTTGTGAGAATAATATAGCACTGTGAGTGCATTACAATCCCAATAGAAAATAAGTTATGTTCGTCTTTGATGTGCTAGCAATATCAAAATATTTACTTTTACTTTTATGATTAGTATGTATAAGGAAAAAAAGTGACCAACTGTGGACACCAAATTTTGTCCACCTTTATCGATTCTCTTTATTCCGTCATCACCTTATCAGATCCGTCACCGCAAGGATGACGGAATATGACGGATCTGAGGTGACGGATCTGATGACCAAGGCATATTTTTTCAATTTGCTAGAAACTTACTACGCGTAAGGCACATTGCTACATACGATTTATTTCAGTAAAAAGTGGTACATGAAATACCAGTGTTCAAAAAAATTAAATGTGTTACTAACAGGAGAAAATCGCTTTAATAGATATGATGAAATCGGGAAACAAAAATACGGATCTGAAATGTCTACGCTTATTTTGCCTATTTCTGTAAATATTATGCAGATCTGACCAATAAATCTTCTTTGATAAGTATGAGGTAACGTCTTGGCAGGATAAAATTATATCTAGGTTTAATAATTGAATAGAGATATGCTTTTAAAGGGGTGCTTACGGAACTGATATGGACAATGGACACCATTGTTTAAGTTAGCTTGTTTTTTAAACTATGGCTTAAATAAATTATACGATGGCATAATATGATACTTTGGTTCAGTTTTCATCTATATTTATCATAATGAAAGCCAACTTTACTGAAACAGTAGCAATTTTAAGGCGTTTAACAGCCAAAGGTGGAGTGGACACCGCCTACGGAATTTAGAGAATGAATGTTTGAAAAATATTTTTGAATTATCCACAATATTAATGCTAATTTTGAAACTTTGCCTACATAAACAATGGTTTATACTACCTAAGAAAAAATCGACATATTTGTACCATGATCACATCTGTGTGTTTTCTTGTGCCACTCATCAGATCCATCACCGAGAAGAATAAGCCATTACGACAATAACAATTATTTACTAATCTCTGTATCGCACGGGGAATTATAATATCTCTGAGCTGCCAAAACAGTAGATCACAAGTGGGCATGCGATGTTGTACCAATTAGAAGCTGTGTGGATCGGCAAAAAGAAAGGAGAGTTTGTGCTGGACGCCCGGAGCCGCAGGGTTAAACGTTGGTGCAAGTTACAGAAGACAACAACGGTAAAAATAAAAAATAGTAAATAAAAAATAAAAAAATACACATACAAAGCTATTTTAGAAAACTAGCTTGATTTATAGATTTCTCTTCATTGGAATCAAACTTTCTGGTCTTGTATCACCGCACGGATGGACGTCGCAGAAGGTGCTATTTTTCATACTTTGACCCATGTTCCATGGGGAAATTTGTTTAGTTTCATGATCATGAGTACCTTGACCATCTTTCGGCTTGTAACACCCTTTTTGTTACTACCGGTATAATTATTAGCCAAGGTGCATTGTCTAAATGTATTTTACGCTCCAGCTTGTAACTTAAATATAGTTCTAAACGATTCCATCGGTACGGACAGCAAAAAAATGCAAATTGTCATAAGCCACGGGCGATTCACGAACAGACATTCCCACAGTGGGGCCGACACGCCTCTACCGTCAGCGAAACAAACTGTTTACAAGTCGCAAACAAAGGGGCTAGATTGTGTCTCGTGAATTTCAGAATGAATTGTTAACCTTTCATCCATAATTTGTAAAGTATTTGTGATTTTAAACAACATTTTGAGCAGATTCAATTAGATTTACAGTCAAATCTAGAACGTAGTACCTTCTTAGTACTTACTGTGTAGAGTTTAATTACAATTTAATTTTGTCACACACTCGTCCCAGTATAATATCATACACCTGAAGCCACAACAGTCCACTGTTGGACATAGGTATTCCCCTAATAGAGGGATGTTGGTATTTGTCATCTATACCTCTTACGGCGGACGAAATTGTAAAACCGTAATATTTACAAAGTTTGGCATTTAGAGGAACCGCTGCTGCCTATTCCCTAGATTTATCCCTTAAAAAGTCGCCTTTTATAATTAGGGTTATAATATCAATTTCTGTCACAAAGCTATTAAATTGTCAGAAAAATATTTATTTTATGTGCCCCGTTTTGCAGACGTTACTGGAGACGTGACCGAATCCCCGCTCTACATAGATGTTATCCGCGCAACAAATCCGCACTATCTACACCACAACGTGTTGTTGCATCTGTCTGAGCTGTGTTGCTGATCAATACCATAAAATACGATAGGTACCTACAACTTGCGGCATGTTAAGGGTTAAACGTAGATTGGTTCTTCACACAGTAATTAATAAGGAAGAGCAGTGTAGGTTGATCTGATCTTTCGATTCAGTTCCATATTGGAAAACTATTTTTGAGACTTCTATTTTCTGCTTTTAATTACTCATTATGGCATCGGCAGAATAGCAATTCAGCCAGGGTCAAGTATTATTAAATTTATTGACTAACCACATCATGAAAAAATCTTAACCTTATTGCGTTGCTGTAGTCGGGTAAAAAACCCAAATGCCAAAAGTGGTGCTAATCTTTTCTGAATTAGCATTTCTCTTGCTTTCGAGATGAATATGGTTCCATCCATTTTGTGTAATTTGTATAAAAGCAACCTTTGAACTTTCGTCCGGTCAGAAGTAAAATAAGTGCGGTATTATTTTTCTCTATGACCTTAATGTATTTTAGAGTGTTATGGGATTTTTTGACCGTATACTCGTCTATTACCAACCTATTTTGTAGTTATAATACAACAAATTTGCATCAGTTTTAGAGTAAAAAAAAAGGAAAAGAAAAGAGTCTGCTTCTGGAAAGAGGTTACCCGAGCCGTTAGATTTAACACCACAGTTCATCGAGTTTAGAACTAAGTTCGCTGTCTACCCTAGCTATAAAAATTTACACGAGCAAATACCGATTTGCATGAAACACCTAAAACTGCTTTCGGTAGATGTCGCTGGATGTATTCTAGAACACGATATCGAAACGCGTTTACTTTTTTGTAGTATTTTATATGACGGGAACAAAGAATACGTATCATAACAAGAAATGCGCTACGGCTAATGGCACGTCCATCTATTACCATCAATTAGCCGTTTTGTCCGTTTGTCGTCGTTTCCTGCTCAAGTCGCATCTTCGCCGCTTCCTGGTCAAGAGTTGAGAGCAGGATGTCGGCATCAGCAGTCCACGCAATGAAGTAATTAGAACAGTGCACGTAACTTATCAGTATTAACCTAGCTATAAAGCAACACGCCATGTCCCATGTCCCATGTAACCTACGGTATGTATGTACGTCATCTTAAGTAGGTAAGTAACATTACTTCATCAACTTCATCATCATCGACCTGCCCTTATCCCAATTTGGTGCAAAATATTTTACGGTATACTTAAATAAAACCATGAAACTATACAACTTTTCTTTCCCTAGGAAAATAGGTCGAAAGATGAAAAAACATACGGTATGTACAAAATGTAACAGTCGAGTCAATTGGTGGGTAGGTTAGGTATAGGTATGTAAGGGGTCCAAAAAAAATTTTTTTTAACCCGTTTTCCTTGGGCTGGAATGGCACGATACTTAAAATATTAGATATCAGGAAACTTGTCATCCTTAGGTATCGTAAATATACTTGTATGATTAAGTTGATTTGCTTCAGGACAGGAGTGAGTAGGTAGGTAATAAAATAACTAGTTTTAAATCAATAGAAAACTTATTCTAGCGCCAGTCTGCAACTAGTAGATTTAGGTACAGGAATAGGTATAGCATCGATCTCACGACCACCAAATCGAGAGACCAACCCTCTAACCACTAGACAACACGCACTTCTCATACCCTCAGCAAACATGTAACTAAGATCCGAGTATCCTGGGAACATTTTCGGAAGGTCAACAGTGAACAGTCAAACACCATATTTGAGTGTTTACCCGACCAAACAGAATGGGTGTCGACGTGTAACCCATTTGTAGAGGCGTGGCGGTCAACGCATTTGTTTGGTTAATCGCTTGTTGGACGGCTGGAGGGAAATGTCAACAGGTGAAGGGTCATAGGAATTCCTGGTGAAAGACATAGCGAGAATCGACGCAGTGGTAGTGCTTCTACGAGTTCTACGTGCGACACTAAGATCCAGGGTTCAATTCCTGGCCGGGACAGATATCTATGGGCGTTTTTTTGAAGAAACTTGTCCAAAAGATAGCGCGGTAGGCCGCCAAAAATAAAGTCGGAATCGGAATAACTGTTATAATTTGACAACTAATCCGGTAACGCCTATGGCGGCGTAGTACGCCATCTTTGGGATTTGTTTCTTCAATATTTTTAATTTCACTGCAACTGAAACTGACAAATCTAAGTATGGCAGTACAGGCACATCTACAGCGGCCATTACTGGCCGATTAGAAAACATCCGCTACCAATCCGTTTCCTTTGGCCGCCTACAAAACCAGAACCATAACCTAATTTAAAAAAAAAACTTATGCCGCCAATATCCTTTTAAACAGGTGATGCCAGTGATGCTGGCCGGTGGATTAAAAAGAATAAAAAACCAAATAAAAAGTTAGAGGGTGCGTTCGGGTTCGCTTTACTAAATCATCTGTCAAACTGTAGGCGCCCCGGCGACTTTGGCTAGTAGAAAGACTTCAGAGGATATGACTCCAGAGTAAGTTAACTTTTTAAATCGCTGCAAAATCCCTGACGTTGTCATACTAGTCGTAGACGAATCGGCTTGTTTTGTGGTACCTATTCTGCATTTTTCATGTTAAAAACCATCTATAAAATACTGATCATGTTTCGTCTAGGTACTTATAGCAAAAAAAAGGATATTTACTTCATTATCCCCAAAGGATTATTATCTATAAATTCTAGTTAACGGTAATTCAGCTTTATTTTAGTAATTTCTCTTACATTTACTGAGGACATCATCATCAGGGGAATCAATGATTTTTAGATACTTTAACATTCAAACAAT